TCCCTTTCTGCTGGACTATCAATCAACAAATATCAACCAGTAAGAATTTATTAAGTGCTTATTGTGTGCCAGATAATATACCACTTGCTTGGGAAGTAAAAAAAAAATGGAAGTTTCTACCCTCAAGGAGCTTACATTCTATCATAAGAAAAAAACATACATACACATATACATTCACAGGTAAATACAGAATAAACATAAAGTAATTTTGGAAAGAAGGGCACTAGTAGCAAGGAGAAGTCAGGAAACAAAGAGTTCTACAAGGTGGAAAGGAGGGAGTGCATTCTAGTTATTGCAGACAATCAATGCAAAGAAACAGAAATATAAGAGATGGAGGAACAACAGGAAGGTCGGTTTCACTGGACCAATATGGTGCAGGAAGAAGAATAATGTATAATACGGCCAGAAAGATAAATTGGGAACAGATTGTGATGAGCTTTAAGAGCCAAAAAAAAAAGAGTTCAAAATTTATTCTGTAAAGAAGAGTAATAAATTCTACCCAGTCCTTTTGCCTTTTTTACTTTTACCCTGTTCAGAAGACAGGCCAAAATGTAGCAGGGAGAGCTTGTAGCAGAGAGAAGGAAGAAGCCTATGAACATGTAGTCTCTTCTCACCCCCCACCCTCGAAATTGCTAAAAGCTGCCTTAGAACAGAAGAATGGGAGTTGCATGAGCTTTTGCACTTAGTCTAAATGATCCTGAGAGTGGGCTTTCTGAGATCAAGAAATGGCAACATCTGGGAAACCTAGAGATTTCCTACAGATGACAGAAGCAGACATGTCTGTGCCCACTCACATGAAGAACAGAGCTCATGAGCAATGTTTCAGAAACCCCAACTTCCTTCATAGAATAGTTTCAATCTAGAAAGTATGATTCTAGAATTCAGCCTTCTAGCCAGAGAAGGGAGAGCTCCTGAATAAAGGACTTCTTGAAGAAAAATTACCCTGTTGGTCCTCTTAATTGGAAGAGCATGGAAAAGGACTGTGACTTGGCAAGGGACCTGAACTTTGCCATCACCACCACCCCACCACTCCTTATTACAGTGAGTGATTTGGATAGTGAAGTTTTGATAGGAATTGGTGTTTTTTCAGCAGCCTTACGTGTACGATGGCCTTCCACAGGGAGTTTACAGGCTATATGAGTGATTTCTAGGTTTATTGTAATGGCTTATAAGCTCCTGTTAAGTCCTTTGAGTGCTTTTTGTGTTTTCTGTATCTGGTTATTGGCTCTTGGGAATTCATAGTGCCTTTTGCATTTTCTGTGGGATTAAGTAAAAAATTTTGTGGGATTTACCCCACCTTTAAGTACCTTAAGTACTTGTATGGGAGCTAGGGATCCCTTTTGCCCAAATTTGGAGAAACCTAGATGTGAGCTATACCTAAACTCTGTACAGAGATTTCCTGGAATAAAGTGTAGGTAGAGGCATAACGAGTTAGAGAAATAAAATTACTTCCTCAGAAATGAATTTTGTCTGTGTGAGCCCAGTTTTGAGTGGTGTCTGGGCTATGCTTTATTAGAAGGGTAGGCTCACTGAGTGGTGGGAGTGGTTATCTAGGAATGATTGTGATGCTAAATCACAAGGCATACACACACATACATGTATGTTTTACATGTTTTAGAGAACAAAGCAAGAAATGGATAGAGTTAGAGACAGAGATGGGATAGAGGTAGTCTGGCACATACACAGACCCCACCATCTTGCTTGGCTGATGCAACCTTTCCACGTGGATGATGCTAGGGAACTTGCTTTCAAGTCAACTATGACAACATATAAAGGATGTGCCTCAAACAGACTATGAAGTATTTGTGAATGTTCTATAACTGGTTATGGTTGACTAACTACATGACTGAAAGAAAGCCTTCTTGATCAGCTACATAACCATAACTGTCAGTGTCCTGAAAAAGGCCTGAGTCAGCTTTGGCTATCTATTTGCTTTATTCAGTCTGGGGAGGTCAGTGACTCTCTCATAACATTCAGTTAAGGCCATGCTATCAGGACCTTCTTTCCCTCTAAGGCCATATGGCCTTGAGAAACAGAGCTCAATCCTTGGAGGGGGGAAGGGATGGAATAAGCATTTATTAAGCACCTACAAGGTGCCAGGCACTATGCTAAGCATTTTTACAAATATCTCGTTTGAGTCTCAGAACAACCCTAGGAGTTAAGTGGTATTATTATGCCCATTTCCCATTGAGGAAACTGAGGCAGAGAGAGGTTAAATGACTTGCCCAATGTCACTAAGTTAGTGTCTGAGGTCGAATTTGAACTCAGGTGCTCCTGATTCTATGCCCAGAACTCTATATACTGTGCCATTCAGCTACCAGGGTCTTCTCATTTGTTCTCCACTCTGACCCTCTCTCCCAGAGCCTGGCTGGCTAATGTACCCTATTAGGGTTCTAGCGTGTCCAAAGGGAATGGGGTGTCCTTTCAAAGGGATATTTACTTCAAAAGTATAGCAAGGACAAACATACAAGCTTTCCCCTGATACTTTTAGGGCATACTCTCCCTGATATTCCGCTGGTCTCTGAAAAAGTAAGGTCAAAATTTAGTAATGTTCTTACATAGCCATGGTCCCACCAGATTCAGTATCACTTCCTGAATCCTTCCACTGGTCTAGGGTCTCAAATGTCACTCCCTAAGGTTCATCCTTACTCCTCAGGGCATCAGTGCTGCCTGCAACGGCTCCAAAACCTAGCCTTGATTCCAGCTCCTGGATTCCTATGACTCCTTCTATTGACCTTTGAATTCTCAAGATCCACCAAGAATGAGGGAAAAAATGAAAAGGCCAAGGATTGAAGTCTCAGGGCCACATGGCCTTTGAAGGGAAGGAGACCCTCAGGCCAAACGAGTCACTATTTTCTGGGTTTTTTTTTTCATGCTCACAATTATATATCTTCAGCCAACCTACCCAATCTTTCATGTGTCAGTCTCCTAACTAGGCCTAGGAGAGGATGATTTTTTTTTCTTTTTCTTTCTTTTTTTCTTTCTTTCTTTCTTTCTTTTCTTTCTTTCTTTTTCTTTTTGTAAATAATATTTTATTTTTTCCAATTACATGTAAAGACAGTTTTCAATATTCATTTTTTTCTAAGATTTTGAGTTCCAAATTTTTCTCCCTCCCCCCCAAGATGATAAACAATCTGATATATGTTATATATGTACAATTATGTTAAACGAATTTCCACATTAATCACATTGAGAAAGAAGAAACAGAACAAAAGGGAAAAGCCATGAAAGAAAAAAAAAGTGAAAATACTATGCTTCAATCTGCATTCAGGCTCCATAGTTCTTTCTCTGGGTATGGATAGCATTTTCCATCATGAGTTTTTTGGAATTTTCTTGGATCATTGTATTGCCAAGAAGAGCTAAGTCCATCATAGTTGATGATCGCACAATGTTGCTGTTACTGTATACAATGTTCTCCTGGTTCTGCTCACTTCATTCAGCATCAGTTCACATAAATCTTTCCAGGTTTTTCTAAAATCCAGCTGCTCATCATTTCTTACAGCACAATAGTATTCCATTGCATTCATATACCACAACTTTTTCAGTCATTCCCCCAATTGATGGGCATCCCCTCAATTTCCAATTCTTTGCCACCACAAAAAGAGCTACTATAAATATTTTTGTACATGTAGGTTCTTTCCTTTTTTTATGATCTCTTTGGGATATAGACCTAGCAGCGGTATTGCTAGATCAAAGGGTATGCACAATTTGATTGCCCTTTGGGCAGTTTCAAATTGCTCTCCAGAAAGAATAAAATTAAGGGGTGAGAGAGGATTATACTAGGAGAAGGAGAAAGGGAGAGGTAGAATGGGGTACATTATCTCGCACAAAACAGACAAGGAAAGGTTCTTAGAGTGGAGGGGAAACAGGGGAAGGTAAGAGGAAATGAGGGAATCTTATTCTCATAGGATTTGGCTTAAGGAGGGGATAACATATACACTCAATTGGGTATGGAAATCTGTCATACCCTACAGGAAAATAGGGGAGGAAGGGGACAAGAGAGCAGGGGGGTGATAGAGAGGAGGGCAGAATGGGAAAGAGGGTAATCAGAAGCAAATACTTCTGAGGAAGAACAGGGTCAAAAGAAAGAATAGAATAAATGGGAGGGCAGGATAGGATTAAGGGAAATAGAGTTAGTTTTTCACAACATGTCTACTAAGGAAGTGTTTTGCATAACTGCACATGTATGGCCTGTATTGACTTGCTTGCCTTTTCAATGAGGGTGGGTGGGGTGGGAGGGAGAAAATTTGGAACTCAAAGTTTTAAAAACACATGTTTAAAAAAAATGTTTCCATATGCAACTGGGAAATAAGAAATACAGGAAATGAGGTACAGAAATCTATCCTGCCCTACAGGAAAATAGAAGGGGAAGGGGATAAGAGAAGTGGAGGAAGAGATAGGAGGGAGGGCAGACTAGGGGAAGGGATATTCAGAATGCATGCCACCTTGGGGGTGGGGGGAAGGGCAAGATGGGGTGAAAATTTGGAATTCAAAATCTTGTGGAAGTAAATGTTGAAAACTAAAAATAAATAAATTTATACAAATTGCTCTCCAGAATAGTTGGATCAGTTCACAACTCCACCAACAATGTATTAATGTCCCAATTTCCCTACATCTTCTCCAACATTTATAATTTTCGTTTTTTGTCATATTAGTCAATTTGATAGGTGTGAGGTAATACCTCAGAGTTGGTTTAATTTGTACTTCTCTTAGAGAATTTTTATACGGCTATAAATAGCTTTAATTTCTACACCTGAAAACTGCCTATTCATATCCTTTGACCATTTATGAATTGTTGACCATTTATCAATTGGGGAATGACTTGTATTCTTATAAATTTAACTCAGTTCTCTATATATTTTGGAAATGAGGCCTTTATCAGAAATGATTCCTATAAAAATTGTTTCCCAGCTTTCTGCTTTCCTTCTAATCTTGGTTGCATTGGTTTTGTTTGTGCAAAACCTTTTTAATTTAATGTAATCAAAATAATCCATTTTGCATTTCATAATGCTCTTTATCTCTTATTTGGTCATAAATTTTTCCCTTCTCCATAGAGATGATCCTTTCTTTACCCTCTCCCTGGGGCTCTGGACTTTAATAGGGCACTCCAATGTCTGAAGAGACATTTGTTCATTAATTATAATTATAACATTTACATAGTGCTTACTATGTGCCAGACATTGTGCTAAGCACTTAACAAATATTTCATTTGATCCTCACTACAACCCTGAAAGGAAGAAACATGAAAAGGAAGCATGTAGATCACATGCCCAAGAGACTTCAAGGCTCTTGGAAGAAGGCTAAAATCTTTGGGAGATCTTTCCCCCACTTCAAAAATAACAACTTCTCCAATCTGCTCATTATGTCTAAAATTCCTTTAGCAGAGAACGAATCTTTTCATTTGATTGTGAAGAACAGGTCTCAAAATGCCATGTCCCTGAAAGATATAAAACATTAACTTAAATTTATATAAAGTACATATAACTAATGATAGATTAATTTAAAATTTTTTTTTGTTTATAAGGGTGACAAGAAACCATGTCACCCCATTTTAACTGTGATGCTTTAACTAAGTAAAAACTCATTTCAATCACTCAATCACAGGCCTAAGATTAAATGCAAAAAAGTTGAAATCTGTTCCAACTGGCTAAAGAATTTCATTATGCCCTCTGAGTCATTCAATCAATAAATAAACATTTATAAAGTGTCTAATATATGCCAGGTGGCAGCTAGGTGGTACAGTGGATGGAGTGCTGGGCCTGGAGTCAAGAAGACCTGAGTTCAAATCCAGCCTCAGATCAGACACTTATTAGCCGTATGATCTGGGCAAGTCACTTAACCTTGTTCACCTCAGTTTCCTCATCTGTAAAATGAGCTGGAGAAGGAAATGGTAAACCACTCCAGTATCTTTGCCAATATAACCCCAAAATGGCTCACAACCAAAACAACTGGACAACAACAACAACAAATATGCCAGGCACTGTGATAAGCACTGGGGATATAAAACAAGGCAAAAGACAATCCCTGACCTCAAGGAGCTTACAATTTCCTAGGGGAGACAATATGCAAACAAATATATACAAAGCAAGGTATATTCAGGATTAATAGGAAATAATTAACAGAGGGAAGACCCTGCAGAAGTTGGGATTTTAGTTGGAACTTAAAGGAAGTCAGGGAAGTTAGTAGCTATAGCAGAAGACAGAGAACATTCTAGACATGGGAGACAGCCAGAGAAAATGTCTAGAATGGAGATAGGAAGTGTCTTCTTCATTGACCATTGAGGAGATGTGCCACTGGATCAAAGAGTAGGTGTTGGGGACACCAGTGATGGATAAGCAGCCTCAAAAAGGGCTCAGCAAGCCCTCACACTGGACCTGTCACCCAGCTCTGACCTGTGGCTCCAAGAAGCTGTAGCAAGCACAGAGGCCCCAGTAAAACCATGTTGGTAGATGGGCTAAACCAAGTTTGAGGGCTGTGAATTAGAGGAATGTTTACTCCAAGAACGTGAGGACTTCTCCTGGTGGAATGAGTGGATGAAAACAATTTGTTCCAATGGTCATGAAGGTGGCTGAAGCAGGCAGGGTAGAGGACTTAGAGCTTGGTCAGACATGGAAGATGCCAAGGTCATCCACTGCATCCTGGGCCATCACCAGTCACCTTGCCACTGGATTTTGAGGACTCTGGAAGAAAGAGTGAGGCTGATGACTTTGTACAACTCTGCCTCACTTAAATCTAATTCATGTACAAGTCAAGACATCACCCTGTGATGTCACTGGTCCTCTTCAAAAAAGAAGGATGAGGGGCAGCTAGGTGGAGCAGTGAGTAGAGCACTGGCCCTGAGTCAGGAGCACCTGACTTCAAATCTGGCCTCAGACACTGACACTTACTAGCTGTGTGACCTTGGGTAAGTCACTTAATCCCATTACCTATCAAGAAAGAAACAAAGAAAAGATAATAATAAAAAAAAATTTAAAAAAAGAAACAAAGAGAGAGGAGAGAGAGAAAGAGAGAGAGAGAGAGAGAGAAAGAAAGAAAGAAAGAAAGAAAGAAAGAAAGAAAGAAAGAAAGAAAGAAAGAAAGAAAGAAAGAAAGAAAGAAAGAAAGAAAAGAAGGATGAATACATGATGTTAGGGAGTATGGTGTAAGAAGTCCAGTAGGAATCAATTTTGGCCTTGACCAGATTTCCTTCTTCCCTCTCTCACCTCTTGTTTTGACTGAAGGACTTTGCCAGGTTTGAAGGGTCCAGAGGAAGTTGGACCTCCACATTGGCTAAGGAGAAATCATCTTTCATTTACACAAAACAACTTCTATGAAAATAACAAACACCTTTGTTGAGTATATGTTGCAGTCTAGGGGTGCTGGAAACCCCAAAATTGAAGGGCAAAAGGCATGAGTCTGCCTTGAAAGAATTTGATGCAAAAGGCAGCTAGGTGGTGCAGTGGATAGAACTCTGCCTTGGAGTCAGGAGGACCTGAGCTCAAATCCAGCCTCAGACACTTGACACTTACTAGCTGTGTGACCATGGGCAAGTCACTTAACCCTGACGGCCTCACACACACAAAAAAAATTTGACTCAAGCCTTCTTTTAGTCAGAGACAAGGTTAATTGTATCACCAATAGAAGTCGGCAGGATTTTAAGAATCTGCACACTTATGATGCTTGTATTGACACAGTGGAGCAGATTTTAAGAATCTGAGGGATTTAATGAGGGCAAGATGGACATTTTTAAACAGAAAAACTGGGAAGATCTGGATGTGATCTAGGAGTGGCCAATAGCCTGGGGTGAATGGGAGATAACAGAGAAGGGGTCTAGAATGGGATTAAGGGTGGGAAATGGCCTGGGGTGGGGCCAAATACAGACAATGAAGGCCACAATGACAGGGCACCTGGGACAGGCCAGGTGCCTCAGGTGAACCCCAGGGATCTGGGCCACGTGGGAAAGTCCAGGGCCTTTTAGGGGTCCATCATTTAGTGCCCATCATATACATCTTCCTGTATGCCTTCTAAAGAAAGAAAGCTGGCAGAGCCAAGATGGCGGAGTAAAGGCTGGGAATTGCCTGAGCTCTCTCCAAAAACCCCTCCAAATACCTTTAAAAAATTACTCTAGCTTTTGTCTCGTGTATTTGCTAGTGGTGCCATGGATCACCAGCAGCTCTATTGGAGCTACTCTTGAAAATTTGGCCAGGGATCTCAGTCATGCCACGTCTGTTCGAACCAGCATGGCCTGATCCACAAGTACAGCCTGAACATGTGCTGACAGTGCTTCTGGCAGTATGCAAAAGACATAGGCTCCATTAAGTTGGACTAAGTTATGTTTATGGGTCTTGCTTCAGTGATTACACTGACCATCAATGACTACCATTTTACTGGATCCTGCACAACCTAAAGATCTATCCTGCTGTACATGCTATGCCAATTTGCATATATAATTTAAAAAGGTCATCCTCAAAAAAAATTACTCTGAACAAATGCTAGAGCAGCAGAACTCACAAAAAGATGGAGTAAAACAAATTTCTAGCCCAAGACAACTTGGAAGGTCAGCAGAAAAGGTCTGCACCAGGGTGAGAAAGGAGCACAATCCAATGCATGCCACAGCAGAACAGACCTAGCCTCAGCAAACCAGAGCACTACTCAGGGAGACTGAATCAGTGGTAGCAGTAGCAGTTTCTAGAACTCTCAGCCCACTGATGCCAAAGACAACTTAGAAGGTCATCAGGAAAAATCTGTCACACCTGGGTGAGAGCGGAACACAGTCCACAGCAGGCTGTGTCAGCACAACCCTGGCCACAGCAAACCAGGAGCAGGCCTTGGAAGTGACTGAATCAGCAGCAGTGGCAGTGACTGCTCCAGAGCTCTCAGCCAACAGACAGTAAGGGTCAACTGGTCAGAAGCAGATTACAGGGGTCTTTTTGCTAGCACTGAAGCAGGACTCTGTTGCTTTGCCCATATTCAGATTTGAGCCTCACTCCTGGGTGGCAGTCCAAGGGCAAGGAGCAGCACTAGCACAGCAGAGCTTACAGCCACAGTAGAGGTGAAACCCTCTTCATAGTTCCAAGGCAGAAAAGAGTGCTTGTGGTCACTCACAGACCAGAGCACAGGCCAGGAGAGTAGTAAATAAACACCTCTCCTTAGATCATACCACCTTGGAAAAACTGAAAACTTACAGGTCCTAGAAGTATCTCTGAAAACAGCTGCACAAAATCCCTGAAGCTTGAGACAGTGCACCCTCCACCCTGGAAGTAAACAAAGAGTTAAAAAGTCAACTAATAAGCTGGGGAAATGAGCAAACAACAGAAAAAACTTCTGACTACAGAAAGTTACTATGGTGACAAGGAAGATCAAAACACACACTCGGAAGAAGGCAACAAAGTCAAAGCTCCTACATTGAAAGCCTCCAAGAAAAATATGACCTGGGAGGCGGAGCCAAGATGGCAGAGTGAAAGCAGTGACTTGCTTGAGCTCTCCCCCAAACCCCTCCAAATACTCATAAAAAATGGCTCTAAACAAATTCTGAAGCAGCAGAACCCACAAAAAGACAGAGTGAAACAAATTTCCAGCCCAAGACAACCTGGATGATTGATCAGAAAGGTGTATCGCAATGGGCTGGGAGCACAGCGCAGTGCGGGCGTGGGCGCGCAGGCCACAGGGAACCTGGAGCAGGCCTCAGAGGACTGAATCACAGTCAGCTGTGGAGGTTTCCAGACTCCTCAATCCACGAATGCCAAAGACAACTTAGAAGGTCAGTGGGAAAAGTCTGTTTCTGTCGGTGCTGAGATAGGAAGGTGGGGTTTCAGCTCCATTCCCCAAGAGCCTGGCCCTGGCGGGGCAGCTGCTTCCCAAGCTCCCGGCCCACAGACTGAGAGGGAATGCAGTGGCTGATCAGAGAGGGACTGCACGGATCTCTTTGCCAGTGCTGAGGCAGGAATCTCTTGCTTTGCCCGTGTGTGGATCTGGGTCACAGTTCTGGACGGCAGTGCTGGGGTGAGGAGGAGTGCTGGCGTGGTGGAGCTTGTAGTGGCTGTGGAGAGGAACCCCTCCTCACAGTTCCAGGACAGAAAGGAATACTTGTGGTCACAGGCCAGGAAAGGAGTAAACACCTCACCCCTTATCATACCACCTTGCAAGAACTGGAAATTTACAGGTCCCTACAAGTATCTCTGAAAACAGCTACACAAACCCCTGAAGCTTGGAACAGTACACTCTCCACATTGGAAGCAGACTCTTACCTTAACAAGGAGTTTAAAACTCAAGTAATTGGCTGTGATCATGAGCAAGCAGTGCAAAAAGAGTCAGACTATATTATCTTACTTTGGTGAAAAAGAAGATCAAAATATACAACCAGAAGAAGACAACAAAGTCAAAGCTCCTACATCCAAAGCCTCCAAGAAAAATATGAATCAGTCCCAGGCCTTGGAAGAGCTCAAAAGGGATTTTGAGAAGCAAGTAAGGAAGTAGAGGAAAAACTGGGAAGAGAAATGAGAGTGATGCAAGAAAATCATGAAAAACAAGTCAACAGCTTGCTAAAGGAGACCCAAAAAAATACTGAAGAAAATAACACCTTAAAAAACAGCCTAACCCAAATGGCAAAAGAGGTCCAAAAAGCCAATGAGGAGAAAAATGCCCTAAAAAGAAAAATTGGCCAAATGGAAAAGGAAGTCCAAAAGATTACTGAAGAAAATACTTCCTTAAAAATTAGAATAGAGCAATTGGAAGACAGTGACTTTATGAGAAATCAAGACACTGTAAAACAAATCCAAAAGAATGAAAAATTAGAAAACAATGTGAAATATCTCATTGGAAAAAACAACTGACCTGGAAAATAGATCCAGGAGAGAGAATTTAAAAATTATTGGACTATCTGAAAGCCATGATCAAAAAAAGAGCCTAGACATCATCTTTCAAGAAATTATCAAGGAAAACTGCCCTGATATTAGAACCAGAGGGCAAAATAGAAATTGAAAGAATCCACAGATCTCCTCCTGAAAGAGATCCCCAAAGGAAAACTCCTAGGAATATTATAGCCAAATTCCAGAGTTCCCAGGTCAAGGAGAAAATATTACAAGCTGCCAGAAGGAAACAATTCAAGTACTGTGGAAACACAATCAGGATAACACAAGATTTAGCAGCTTCTACATTAAAGGACCGCAGGGCATGGAATATAATATTCCGGAGGGCAAAGGAGATAGGATTACAACCAAGAATCACCTACCCAGCAAAACTGAGTATAATCCTTCAGGGGAAAAAATGGTCATTCAGTGAAATAGAGGACTTTCAAGCATTCCTGATGAAAAGACCAGAGCTAAACAGAAAATTTGACTTTCAAATACAGGACTCCAGTGGAACATGAAGAGGTAAACAGGAAAGAGAAATCATAAGAGACTTATTAAGATTGAACTGTTTACATTCCTGCATGGAAAGATGATATTTGTAACTCATGAGAACTTTGTCAGTATTAGGTAGTTGAAGGAAAAAAATTGTATGTATGTATATATATAGATAGATAGAGGGCACAGGGTGAGTTGAAGATTAAGGGGTCATATCTGGAGAATAAAATTAAGGGATGAGAGAGGATTATACTAGGAGAAGAAGAAAGGGAGAGGTAGAATGGGGTAAATTATCTCACAAAAAAAACAGAAAAGAAAAGTCTCTCACAGTGGAGGGGAAACAGGGGAAGGTGAGAGGGAATGAGGGAATCTTATTCTCATAGGATTTGGCTTAAGGAGAGAATAACATACACATTCAATTGGGTATGGAAATCTGTCTTACCCTACAGGAAAATAGGGGGAGAGGAGGACCAGAGAGCAGGGGGTGATAGAGAGGAGGGCAGATTGGGAAAGGGGTAATCAGAAGCAAATACTTCTGAGGAGGGACAGGGTCAAAAGAAAGAATAGAATAAATGGGAGGGCAGGATAGGATTAAGGGAAATAGAGTTAGTTTTTCACAACATGTCTACTAAGGAAGTGTTTTGCATAACTGCACATATACAACCTATATTGAGTTGCTTGCCTTTTCAATGAGGGTGGGTGGGGAGGGAGGAAGGGAGAAAATTTGGAACTCAAAGTTTTAAAAACACATGTTTTAAAAAAAATGTTTTCACATGCAACTGGGAAATAAGAAATACAGGAAATGGGGTACAGAAGTCTATCCTGCTCTACAGGAAAATAGAAGGGGAAGGGATAAGAGAAGGGAGGGGGAGAGATAGAAGAGAAGGCAGACCAGGGGAAGGGGTATTCAGAATGCATGCCATCTTGGGGTGGGGGGAGGGGTGAGAAATTTGGAACTCAAAAACTTGTGGAAGTGAATATTGAAAACTAAAAATAAATAAATTTCTATTTAAAAAAAAAGAAAAATATGATTTGGTCTTGGGCCATGAAAGAGCTAAAAAAGGATTTTGAAAATAAAGTAAAAGAGGTAGATGAAAAATTGGGAAGAGAAATAAGAGTGATGCAAAAAATCATGAAAAACAAGTCAACAGCTTGGTAAAGGAAACATGAAAAAAAAAATACTGAAGAAAATAACATCTTAAAAAACAGACTAGGCCAAATGGTAAAAGATGTCCAAAAAGTCAATGAGGAGAAGAATGCCTTCAAAAGCAGAATTGACCAAATGGAAAAGGAGGTCCAAAAGCTCACTGAAGAAAATAATTCCTTAAAAATTAGAATGGAGAATTTGGAAGCTAATAACAATATGAGAAATCAACAAATAATGAAACAAAACCAAAAGAATGAAAAAAATAGAAGACAATGTGAAATCCAGGACAGATAATTTAAAAATTGTTGGACTGCTGGAAAGCCATGATCAAAAAAAGAGGTTAGACATCATCTTTCAAGAAATTATCAATGAAAACTGCCCTGGTACTCTAGAACCAGGGGTAAAATAGACATTGAAAAAATCCACTGATCACCTCCTGAAAAAGATCCCAAAATGAAAACTGCCAGGAATATTATAGTCAAATTCCAGCGTTCTCAGGTCAAGAGAAAATATTGCAAGCAGCCAGAAAGAAATAATTCAAGTATTGTGGAAACACAATTAGGATAACACAAGATTTAGCAGCATCTATATTAAATGATTGGAAGGTTTGGAATATGATATTCTGCTGGGCAAAGGAGCTAGGATTACAACCAAGAATCACCTACCCAGCAAAACTGAGTATAATCTTTCAGGGGGGAAAATGTATATTCCATGAGACAGAGGACTTTCAAGCATTCTTGATGAAAAGACCAAACTGAATAGAAAATTTGACTTTCAAATACAAGACTCAAGAGAAGCATAAAAAGGCAAATAGGAAAGGGAAAATCATAAGGGACTTAATAAGGTTAAACTGTTTACATTCCTACATGGGAAGATGATATTTGTACCTCATAAGATCTTTCTCATTATTAGAGTAGTTAGGAGTATACATATTTACATATATATATATATATATACACACACATATACATACACACACACACACACAGGGTACAGGTGTGAGTTGAATATGAAGGGATTATATCTAAAAAATGAAATTAAGGGGTGAGAGAGGAATATACTAAGAAAAAAGTGAAAAGGGAGAAGAAAAGATCCAATTTGGCCTCATTGGTATCATTGAGTTTTGGTAGAATGAACCCTATGACTAGAATAAAAAGAATGGCATAAATGAAAAGGGGATGCGATATAGCATTGCATATTAAGAATATATTATTGTTATAGTGTTACCTCCAGGGCAGCAGTGACTCTCATCTTTCAATTTGTGTCCTAACTGAAGCTTTGGATCAGCTGACAGCAGTCTAAATCAGGAGCCAAGGACAGATTGAACTCATGTCTCTACAACGAGTATAGCAAGAAACTATGCCATGCCTAAGGGGGACTTCCTGAGTGCTCCAAGAATGGGACAAAAGGACTTTCAGCAACAGAGGCTATTTAGTCATCCCTTTGCCACATGTACTGTCTACGCTTAAATCCGTTTTCCTCTGGATTCTGTAGGTACTTGTGAGAGAGTGTCACAGACTTCTTAGGGATGTTGTCTAACAACTCTGCCTACTGTGCCATCTTTTCTAAAGAGCTACTCAAGACTTTACTAAGTTGATTCTTAATTGATGGTCTTAGGAGGCAACACCAGTGGGGGCTTAACCCAATGGCATTAGAGAATCACCTGTGATCCTTTAGGAGTACCCTTAGAATTCTGAGGGGAAAATGTAGCTAGCTAAGTTCTAGTTTGGGGGACCCAACTAATCAGTGGGAGTAGAATTAGAGATGAGCTCGATCTCAGAGCTTAGATGTGCTACATAGGGAAAAGAGACCAAAAGGGTACTGAACATCTGAAAGAAATGGAGGAACGGGGAACCATGGGGGAAAGGAAAAGGTATAAAGAGCAGGTATATATGTTGCCTACTACACGAACTGATTGAGGGTTGGCCCTCACATGAGCTCATCTTCTGCTCACTGGAGAGAAAAGAAAGAAAAGTACCACATAAGGGAACTACAGAGAACCCACACACATACACTCCCACCATCTTCAAAAAAGAAAAACCTGGTATTTGATGGTTACATGCCAAAATGCCCTACATGCCAGTATTCTGGTTCTCATCCCTCTTTTGATAACAACCTTCCATCTTCAGACCTTACATAACACCACATTCTACACCTCTGTGATATGTCCTATAAGAAAGCATTACACAACTCCACCTCAATATAATGTAATCAAAGTAAGATAGGTTGAAGTTTTAAATGTGTAAACAAAGTGGCTTACCCCTGATCTTTTTATGAGGTGTGAAATTCTTTGATTGGTCAAGAAGGGAACAGTTGGTTCACTAACCACAGCTCCAAGGCTTGACATAGCAGAGGCATTTTAGCAGTTCCCCAGTCCTTCCAGGTTATCCCTAGAACCAAGAAAGGATGTATAGTACTTCCTTTAGGCCACTGCCCCAACCTGGACTTGCATTCACAGGTTGGGATCCCTAGAGGGTCAGTTGCTCTTACCTACCTCTCTGGATTCTAGCCCACTAGGGTTTCTAATATTGTCATTCAGAAAAATACCCACAGGTTTTTAAAAGGTCCCCATTTTAATTAGCTTATTAGCTTTCTCAGCAAAGCGTATTTACTAATGATTTATAGTAAGAACAGTTGGCAAGAAACATTCTCTGTCCCCTTCCCTTCCCCCCAAAAAAAGAAAACAAAAGGTCTGGGACATATCTTACCACAAGTATTCACAGGTATATGAAAAATGAATTCTTTACTGTAGAGACTACATGGGTCCAAATGGTAAACTCACAACTCCTGGTTCTTGGAAGTCCTTTCTTGAATCCATTCCTCTCTATCACAGGGGGATGACTCTCCCTGGAGGTGCTTCCTTCCTCATGTGGCTATCCTGTAACCATCTGTATCTATTTTTGTTCTTAATGTGTATCTCTCTCTGCTCTTTGTTGGAGGAGTTGTCTCCTAGCTGTCCAACATGTGGGTGCACTCTCTTCCCCCTTGCTACATCCTGTTACAAGCAAGGGCAAGGGTCTGAGTTTGAAGGCTTTCACCACTTGACAGCTTCACCAGCAGACTGCTCTCTGATGAAATTCTTTGAGCTGCTTAAAGTCCCCAGAGGTTAACCTTGTGGTTAACTTATTGACCATATAGTCAGCTCTTCAGGTTTTTTAAAAATGTATTTATTTATTTAGTTTTCATTTTCAATATTCACTTCAATAAGATTTTGAGTTCTAAGTTTTCTCCCCCTCCTTCCTCTTCCCCTTCCCCAAAACAGTGTGCAATCTGATGTAGATTCTACACATACATTCATATTAAACATATTTTCACATTAGTCATGTTGTAAAGAAGAATTAGAACCAATAGGAGGAACCACGAGAAAGAAGAAACATAGAAAAAGAGAAACAGAGCAAATAGTATGCTTCGATCTGCATTCAGACTTCATAGTTCTTTTTCTGGATGTGGATAGTATTTTCCATCATGAGTTTTTTGGAGTTGTCTTAGATTCTTGCATTGCTGAGGAGAGCTAAGTCTATCAAAGTCATCACACAATGTGGCTGTTACTATGTACAATGTTCTCCTGGCTCTCCTCACTTCACTGAGTATAAGTTCATGTAAGTTTTTCTGAAGTCTGCCTGCTCATCATTTCTTATGGAACAATAGTATTCCATCACATTCATATACCACAATTTGTTCATCCATTCCCCAATTGATGGGCATCCCCTCATTCTTGGCCACCACAAAAAGAGCTGCTATAAATATTTTTGTACATATCGGTCCTTTTCCCATTTTTATGATCTCTTTGGGATACAGACCTAGAAGTGGTATGCTGGGTCAAAGGGTATGCTCAGTTTTATAGCCATTTGGGCCTAGTTCCAAATTGCACTTCAGAATGGTTGAATCAGTTCACAACTCCACCAACAATGCATTAGTGTTCCAATTTTCCCACATCTCCCACATTTATAATTTTCCTGTTTTGTCATATTAGCCAGTCTGATAGCTCTTTACTTCTTAACCCAAAGAGGTTCACACTTCACAAAGTGTGACATCATGATTACAAACCACCTCATCCTAGCCTTTGTTGATTATATTACATTAATTGAGGAAGGAAAGGGTAACCAAAACTGCTCAACTAGACTGTTAAGTTCCTGGAGGGCTGGGACTTTCTTATCTAAACTTTTTATCTCCGTCCCTTCCCTGCCTACCAAAACTGTTTCATATTTATTTTTTTTGGTTGTTGTTGTTTTTGTTTGGTTTTTTTTTTGGCTAGACAATGGGGTTAAGTTACTTGCCCAGGGTCACACAGCTAATAAGTGTTATGTATCTGAGGTCACATTTGAACTCAGGTCCTCCTGAATCCAGGGCCCGTGTTCTATCCACCGCGCCACCTAGCTGCCCTTCATATTTGTTGAAGGAAGAAATTTAAGGTTGAGGCAGCAGGAAAGAGAAAATTTGAGGGGCAGGAGTACCACAAAACTGGTGGGCTGCTGCACCTGCAGTGTGAACATAAAGACTTTTTGAAGTTTTTTTTCCCTTTTATTATCAATAAAGTTTCATTTCCTTTTATTCTTACTGACTATGAGGTTTTGTTTCTGCTAGTATCTTCTGCCTTCTCAATTTTTTTCCTCAGTATTAAAATGGATATCTTCAAAAGGAGCCGTCACCAACATTTCCCCCCTGATTCAACAGTATCCTCCTTTCTCCTGCACACTACCTCCCCCACCCCCACCCCCAAAAAAGAGGGGCATAATAGGAACTATCTTCTCCCCCTGGGTTTGGTTATACCAACCAGATGAACGATCAGGGAAAAAAAGGGTGAGAGTTTGTATATGTTTTGTGTAAAGTTCAATCTAAACTGGGCAAATCCCTTGAGGGGCATAGGATCCCTCTTCCAAGAGAGCTAGATGATTCGAGAAACTCAGCATGTCAAGGGGTGGACCCGAGGACTGCTGCCCTTAAGTCCAGCTTCCCCGCCCCCACCTGAGAATGAGGCCCTTTGCCCTACATTATCACTACCCTTCCACCCCAACTCCCACTTAGGAGAAACCGCCTGCGAGCGACGACTCAGACAAGGAAGGAGATGCATGCCAGTCTAGATGATTCACATCCCAAATCCCCTTCCCTCGTCTTCTCACTTTACAGATGGGGTAACTGAGGTAGTGCACCCCCGCAGGCCCTCTAAGTCTTTTGCCAGGGAGAGAGGTGGGTGACCACAGAGGTCCAGTGAGAGGGTAGAGCCCTCTAGCGGCCAGTCCCTGAGCTGAAGCCGGCTCTGGGTTCATAGTGCCTCGAGCTCCGAGTCTTTGCAACAAAAACAGCCGCCATGCTTCGTCCCCTTTGCCTGCGCCTGCGCCTACGCGGACCTGGCCCCTTGCCCTTGCTCCCGCTCCTCCTCCTCCTATTCCCCTATAGGAAACTTCCCCCACACCCATAGTAAACTCGTTCCTTCCACCTCCTTCTCTCCATAGGGAACCTGCCCACCTCTTTCAGAAGCCTCCCCTCCCTCCCTAGCCTACTCCGCCCCCCTATAAGAAACCTCCCCTGCCTTAGGATATCTCCCCCTTCCCCCAGTGCAAACCCGCTTTCCTTACTCCTCTACAGAAAACCTCCTTTCCCTATAGAAAATTTGTCTCTTCCTCCAGTATAGGAAACCTGCCATACTACTCCTCCCCTATAGAAAACTTGTCCCTCCCTTCCCGTCTTGATACTCCTCCCCAGTGAGGCTACCAGCCTCCCCTTTATCAGAAATCTGCCCTCTCTTTTAGAAAACTTGCCCCCCTCTTCGTCTTCCTCCTCCCCTATAGGAAGCCTACCCATCCTTGGTCATAGGAATCAATTCTCCCACCCCACCTTCATCCTTTCTTCCAGGGGATCACCCCAGGATACCCCAATCATTTCCTATGTGTGCGCGCGAAGAGACGGCCCAAAGGGGAAACAAACACAGGTCAACCAAAGTCCGCCCCCTGGCCTCCCCTGGCCCAGTCGGCTGTCAGGGAAAGCCCAGCGGGGCGGGGGCGGAGAGAGGGGGGAATGGGGCGGCTGACGTCACTTCCGCCCAGGCCTGGCAGTGGCTGAACCTGGTGGTGCTCGGGGGCAGCAGTAGCAACCGCAGCAGCAGCCGCAGCCGCAGCCGCAGCAGCAGCAAGCAGCAGGAGGAGGAGGAGCAGGGGAGGAAGGAAGGACCGTTCGGCCTCGCTACCCGCCTCAGCGCACCCCGGGCCCAGCGGAACACCCAGCCAGGGCCGCGACTCCGCGGGCCTGCGCCACGCACGGAATTGGGGCCCGGCCGGATGGGCGCCTGAGCCTCGGGCCCCTCAGCGCCCTGGATCGGGGCCGGGTGAGGGTTGCGGCGGGGTCGGAGGCGGACGCGGGGCCTGAGGGCGAGGAGCGGGGAAGCCGGGCCCCCTTGAGCGTGCGAGGCCGGCGTCCGGCCTCGGAGCACATCCTGAGCGCCCCGGGGTTAGAGGGCCGGGCGGGGAGAGGGGGGCAGGGCCGGCCTGGGCTCTGCGGGGGAGGGGGGAGCCGGGACGGACCGGTCGACAGCCGGTGTATAAGGTTAAGGCTTTGGGGGCCTGCAGGGAGGAGGAGGCAGGGGCAAGGTGTGGAGAGGAAACAAAGTGGCCAGGGCCTGACGGGGGTATCATCCAGAACAGGGACAAAAGGAGGGGGCTGCAAACCTGGGTCTGGGGGAGACAACGGGAAAGAGCTGCTGGCCTGGAGGGGCGGGACAAAAGGAGTAGGCATTGTGATATTTGCTTAAAAAAGAAAATACTGTCCAGCAGCGAGAGGAAGGGAAGTTGGACCCCATATTGGATCGTGCTGGGCATCTTGAGGAGAGGCCGTCGTTCTGTGCGGGTGGGGGCCCCTCGCAGTGTCGGAGGGTAACTTTACTTTGAGAGTCGTTGCACTGGAGGGTCCCCCTCCGGAAGGCACGGTGAGTCTGTTTTCCCTTTTGGCATCTTAACCTTGCTCCCTATCGCCTTTCCTCAGCCCTAGTTCAGAGCTCCCGGAAGCTGAGAGCAGGATGTTCCGGTTCATGAGGGACGGAGAGCCTGAGGATCCCATGTTCCTCATGTGAGCCCCCCACCCTCTCATACCAGGGCCCCCCCCCCAACGCCCTATGCCAGGACACCCCCCAACCCCCAGCCTGGGGAAGGTTGGGATAGACCCCCGAGTTCTCCATTTGGGGGTTAGTACTCAGTTTTAGTGTTTGTTCTGGATCTCTCTTTGCCTTAGTTTCTTCGTGTTTTCATTTGAGAAGGAAGGCACCCAGGCATGGGGCTTGTCCTCCTGACATGCCTTCTTTTGTGCTTTCCACAGGGACCCTTTTGCTATTCATCGACAACACATGAGTCGGATGTTGTCAGGAGGCTTTGGCTATAGCCCTTTCCTTAGCATCACAGATGGGAGCATACCAGGGGCTCGACCTGCTACTAGAAGGATGCAGGTAATAGGGCAAAATATTTAAGACTCTGTCAAACTTTGAGATTGGGAAGGAACTTGAGGAAAAATCCCTGCCCTGCCTCTCCCATGAGGGGAGGGGGAACCAAATTCCTGCTGCTTAAAAAGAGAATCAGGGTAAACTTGGGGAGGTGGGCCTAACCCTAGGTTTATTGGGAAGGGGAGAGGTTTATATTCTAATTCTACTTCTTGTCCATGGACCTGTAGGCTGGAGCTATCTCACCCTTTGGGATGCTGGGAATGGTAAGTCCTCATTCCCCTACATCTCCCCCAAGCTGTGTTCTTTGTTCTCCTTCAGTATTATTTTCAGATCTATCCCTTTAAGAGGTCTTTTGGAGTAACTACAGTGGTACCTCCTCTTCCCCTCCCCCCTTTCATATTCAGTGTTCACAAAACTTTAATATGCTTTAATATATGTGTACAGCGTTACATATTTCTTAACTATTAACTAGAGATCCAGAATCTCTAGAAAGAGGACTCCTTTTCTTTCCCTTTTTTATGGGTCCTGTTTTGTTATTGTGTGTGTGTTGGGGAGCAGTTAGTATTGGTTCTTGATAGGTAAAAATCCATTGACTCTGTGTTGAGTTCTTAGAAGAAGGGGAGGGTCGGGAAGCCAGGAAATGGAGAAGAAGAATGAAGCCAGAAAGGGAGAAGAAGAGGTCAGTGTTGTTTTAGCCTGTTTCGATAGGGAGATTCAGGGTATGCTCAAAAGGATTTAGAGCTGGAAGGGACCCAGATCTTCTAATCTACAAAAATCTACAAAGTCTGCAAAGTAATCTGCAAAGTCAAACAGGTATTTGTTGGCAAGGCAAAGATTTGAACTCCGGTCCTCTGACTCCAGATCTAGTGCTTTTTCCACTAAACCACACTGCCTCCCAAGAAGTCTTAGAACAGATGACCAGGTGTGAGGGGGAAAGGAAAGCCAGGCCATTCTTAGGGTTGATGAAGAAACCTAGAGTTTATTGATTTTTCCTGAGCCTTTTCTTCTAACTCTCCTTCCCTAGACAGGTGGCTTCATGGACATGTTTGGGATGATGAATGATATGATCGGGAACGTGGTAAGCCTCTTGCCCTTAATCTTCTTAACCTTTTGGCCCTAAATAATAGCCCAATTCCAAGGATTCCTCTTTTTCTATAAAGGGGCTCACTAAAAAGTTAGACCCTTGAATTCTGAGTTGGAAGTACTCACATAAGGACATAATGTCAGATCCCTACTCAAGAAGCCTGAGCAAGACAGGGATTTCACATTAGGCATCCAATTTAGGGGAGAATCTCTTTAATTTCTTCAAGATCACTTGTGAGTTCTCACAGTACTAAGATAGAGACAAAGTTAAAAACAAGTTGAGATGCTAGAAGGACTATCTGGTAAGGGTGAGATCCCCTCCCTCCCCAACCAGTTCATTTCCAGCCTCCCTCTTTTACAGGAGCACATGACAAGTGGAGCCAACTGTCAGACCTTTTCATCCTCCACTGTCATCTCTTACTCCAACCTGGGTGACGGCGCTCCCAAAGTCTACCAAGAAACATCTGAGATGCGCTCAGCACCAGGTGGGGTAAGTGCTGTGGGGAGATGGTAGAATGGCTCTGGATCCACAGTGCTGGACTGGCTCCCTATGGACCCCACCTCTGTCAAAGTAGGTGGTGCTAGATGTCATCCAGAAAAACACTGGGGTGTTTCTCAGAATTGTTTGAGGGAAATTTTGACCACAGGTACTGTCAGTAGAAACTTGGATGCAAGGTAGCTAGATATATAACAAGCTATCCATCCTTTTTTCAGATCCGGGAAACCAGGAGAACAGTGAGGGACTCTGATAGTGGACTAGAGCAGATGTCCATTGGGCATCACATCCGAGACAGGGCACACATCCTCCAGCGTTCCCGAAATCACCGAACTGGGGACCAGGAAGAACGGCAGGACTACATCAATTTGGATGAGAGTGAGCCTCCTTAAGTCTGACCTTTCTACTTGCTGTTCTCATCATTCTTGCCCAGTAGTTCCCGTCCTCTAATAAAATACTTCAGGGCTTCAGACAAAGGAGAGGCACTCCTTGAAAGCTAAGGAAGTTATCATTGGTGTATTTTCTCTGACTACCCTTTTTCTTTCATTATCCAACCTCATTTTCTCCTGGCTTTTTCAAATTAACAAATGCTTATGGAGTTCCTGTTATATTCAGGGTACTATGGTTATTGCTGAGGAGATGAAAAGAAGTCCTCTTGTGCTTTCTATTTTCTTCTCTGTGGAGGCAGGGAGGCACTAGGACTCTAGAGTACCTCCCACTCACTAGTTGCTGACCCTTGACTTAGACTAATAGTCTCTTCCCTTGTCTTCCTGCTTTTAGAAGGATGTTAACCATGCCTACTTTTTGCATCTGCCTCTTGAAATTCACCTGCACCAGGAATCCAACTCCATTCTGTGTATTCCCTCCTCAGGTGATGCTGAAGCTTTTGACAATGAGTGGAGGAGAGAGACATCCCGATACCGGCCACAGCGACCCCTGGAATTTCGTCGGCATGAGGCTACTGGGGCCGGTGGGGGTAGAAGGGCTGAGGGACCCCCTCGGCTGGCTATACAGGGCCCTGAGGATTCCCCCTCCCGACAGTCACGACGCTATGACTGGTGAGGGCCCCCAGGTGCTCTCATAAGTGTTGGTGGGGAAAGGATCATAGGTGAGGGATGAAGTCCCTCAGTCATTCCTCTGGCATTTGGAGGAAACCCACTTGTTCCTAATATTTTAGAGTGTGGGAGTGGGATGAAGATCCTCTTAGAGCCTATTTTGGTGATATAGGTCTCAGCTGATCTAGGAAAGGAAAGAAATTCTCCTAAATTGGAGAGTTGACCACAACCACCAAGACCCTCATCATCCAGCTTCTGTTTTCCCCTCTTCCTTCCTTCCTTCCATCCTTCCTTCCTATATGACAAGCTTTCTCTCCCACCACCTCTAGGTACATTCTGTGAGGGTTAAGAAAAATGACCCCTCGGAATAATTCCCTTCCCCCAGTTTAATATTGAATAGAGGTGAGCTGGTCCCTTCGAGCTTAGGAAGCCTTAGGGGGAGCTTTTCACTGCCCCTTTACTGCTTTTACTCGGCCCATCTCCCCTTGTTCAATCTCACCCTCCCATAGTGAATTTACTGACTTTTTTTTCCTGTTGCTCCCTAGTTTCTTGATTTTTTTTTCCTCCCCTTTAGCCCCTAATAAGTACAAAGTCCCTTAGGATAAGTTCTGGGGGTAGGAGCCCCATTTCCTCCCCAAAGGTTTATTAGTGGCCATTGGATCCTTTCTCATCACTACCTAGAAGTCCCATGTTTGGGGCTGTGCCCCCTCCCTACTAGCTGGGTAAGGGGTGGGTATTGGGTCCTTTTTCCTCTTGTCCTCTAATCCTATGCCCCCATGCACCTATGTGTGCACTCAAACACATACACACACAGACACACACACACACACACACACACACAGTCTTGTCTGTCTCTGCGTCCCCTTGCGTTTGTGTGTGT